GTTCAGACTCAGTTTAGTTCAGACTCCTTAGTTTAGTCCAGACTCACCTGAGGTGTCACAGAAAACCTCAGTTCAGGCTCAGTTTAGTCCAGACTCCTCAGTTTAGTTCAGACTCCTTAGTTCAGTTCAGACCCACCTGATGTACCACAAAAAAACCTCAGTTCAGACTCAGTTTAGTCCAGACTCATTATTTTAGTCCAGACTCATTATTTTAGTCCAGACTCCTTCGTTTAGTCCACACCACCTTTCCAAAGCCACAACGACCCCAGAACAGAGAGAAATCCTGGTTTTAACGGGGCGAAACCCGACCGGGAGACGTCTGCCCTAAAAACCCCTCTGCGGGCCGCACCTGCCCGGCTGGGAATGCGGCCCAGGAAACCCGGGAATGCGGCCCAGGAAACCCGGGAATGCGGCCCAGGAAACCCGGGAATGCGGCCCAGGAAGCCGGAGCATCCCGGACAGGGACGGGCGAGGTGGGAGCTCGAGGGCACCGCAGATAAGGGCCCAACAAAGGCGCTGCTGTGGCCCGGGAACAAAGAGCTGCTGTAACCCGAGGAACAAAGACACCTCTGTGCCAAAGTGACCTCCCGGCACAGCCCGCACCGGCCCCGCGGCCCAGCTGAGCTGAAACACCCAAATCCGGCGGTTTCCACCCAAAAAGGAGCCCCCGGCTCTCGGGGGAGCGTCCCTGCCCCGCTCCGGGACATCCGTGGTGTTTGGAGGGATGTGATCCATTGATCCGTCCTCCTCGTCCCGGGATGGGGGTTGGATGAACAGCGCCGGGAGTGAAGGATGGGAATGGAATAATAAATGGAATAATGAAGTGATTTAAAAAAATTGAGTAATAATTTGAACGATGGATTAAATGATAAATTGGATAAGGTCTTGAATAATAATAATTTGATTAATAAATTGAATGATAAATTGAATAATAATTTGAATAATAATTTGTACCAAAATCGAATAATAAATTGATTTTAAAAATCGATAATAATTTGGATGATAAATTTAATAATAATTTGAGTAATAAAATGATTCATAAATGGAATAATAAATGGAATAATAAAATTATTAGAAATTCGATTAATAATTTGAATGAGATATTGAATAATGTTTTGAATAATAATTTGATTAAAAATTTGAATAACAAATTGAATGATAAATTGAATGATCAATTGAATAATAAATTGATTTAAAAATTGAATAATAATTTGAATTGTAAATTGAATAATATTTTGAACAATAATTTGATTAATAAATTGAATAATAAATTGAATAATAAATTGAATTATAATTTGAATAATAGTTTGAATAATAATTTGAACAATAATTTGAACAATGAATTGAATAATAATATGAATAATAAATTGAATAATAATATGAATAATGAATTGAATAATAATTTGAACAATAAATTGAACAATAAATTGAATAATAATTTGAATAACATATTATGAATTTCATATATATTTTTAATTACATAGATATATGATTATTCTATGTATATATATAATCATATATATATATATATGATCACCTGCTTGCTGTACTGCTGGTGAACCCGTAGCAGCTTCTAATTACACATAAATCATAATTATAATTGGCTCGTGAACAGGGATGTGGAATAAAGGAACCCCTGGGAGTGAAGCTGTGGGATACAGAAATCCAGGGAGGCTCAGAGTGTCCCCCCTTGGGTATTTTGGGGCCCTGTGCCCCTCCCATCCCCTCACCCCGTGGCAGCTCCGGGCTGGGCTCCGGCAGCTCCGACGGGGCGTTATCAGATCCTGCCCCATTCGGCTGCTCCCGAGTGTTGACTTTGCCAAGGAAAGCAAACCCTTGGGAGCCGTTCCCGGCCGAGCTGCTCCCGCTGTCGCCAGCTCTGAGGGACGTGGCCTTGGGCAGCAGCTCCTGGAGGGGGTTTCTCCTGGATTAGGGGGGTTTCTCCATCCTCACCCTCACCATGAGGATCCTCCTGGTGCTCGTCGCCCTCGCGGGAGCCGCCGGCGCCCAGCGGCAATTCCAGGGGTGAGTCCTTCCCGAGGGATGGGGCGGGATGGGGTCCTGCTGTCCCCCAGGGTGACATCCCAAAGGAGGGGAATCCAGAACCTTCCCAACCAGGACGAGGTGTGGTTTCACCCCAGGGTTGGAGCGTGGAACAGGTGGAAATTAGGGAATGCCGGATCCTGGGAGCGTCACCCCAGGCTTTGCTGAGGGGGAGAATCCCGGGAGATAAAGGGATAATATCCCAAACAACGGGGGCTGGATGGCTGTGGAGGAAACCGAGGATTGTTGGGAATAACAGCCAGGGGTTGTTGGGAATAACAGACAAGGATTGTTGGGAATAACTGGCAAGGGTTGTTGGGAATAACAGACAAGGGTTGTTGGGAATAACAGACAAGGATTGTTGGGAACAACAGACAAGGGTTGTTGGGAATAACAGACAAGGATTGTTGGGAATAACAGACAAGGGTTGTTGGGAACAACAGACAAGGGTTGTTGGGAATAACAGACAAGGATTGTTGGGAATAACAGACAAGGACTGTTGGGAATAATAGACAAGGGTTGTTGGAATAACAAAGATTATTGGGAATAACAGACAAGGATTTTTGGGAATAACAGCCAAACATTGTTGGGAATAACAGCCAAAGATTGTTGGGAATATCAGCCAAAGGTTGTTGGGAATAACAGACAAGGGTTGTTGGGAATAACAGACAAGGACTGTTGGGAATAACAGACAAGGGTTGTTGGGAATAAGAGACAAGGATTGCTGGGAACAACAGACAAGGATTGTTGGGAATAACAAACAAGGATTGTTGGGAATAATAGGCAAGGGTTGTGGAGAATAACTGGCAAGGATTACTGGGAATAACAGCCAAGGATTATTGGTTGTAAAAGACAAGGATTGCTGGGAATAACACCCAAGGTTTGTTGGGAATAAGAGACAGGGATTGTTGGGAATAACAGCCAAGGATTGCTGGTAATAACCAAGGATTTCTGGGAATAACAGCCAAGGATGGTCGGCAGTAACAGGTCGTGGGAAAGAACAAGCTGTGGCTGGAAAAGGGGCCGTGGGGAGGTCGGGCAGGACTTTTCCAGGAAAACATCCTTGTTGGAGTTCCCGGAGATAAGCAAGAGCCCAGCACAGGTGCAGGAATGAGGTCAGGAAGTGCACATGGAATGTAGGGGGATCAGGAACACCCAAGACCCCCAAAGCCTCTGACCCGTTCCCATTTTCCTAAAATTTCCTCCCTCCTTCCCTCTCTTCCTTTCTTCCTGTCATTTCCATCCTTTTTTCCTTCCTTTCCTTCCTCTTTTCCATCCTTTCCTCCCTTTTTATTCCTTCTTTCCTTCTTCTTTTCTTCCTTCTTTCCTCCCTTCTTTTCCTTCTCCCTTCCCTTTCCCCCCCACCCCCCCTTTATCCAACCCACAATTCCCAGGCCAAGCGTGTCATTTCCTAATAAAAAACTCTGGAATTTTTCGTGGACCCTCTGCCTTCTGTCATCCCTTCCCATCCCGAGCTTTTACAAATCCCAGGTCCTCCTTCCCCCTCGGAGTGGGGGGACGACATTCCAATTTTTGGATAGGATGCCGTGGTTGAAGGGGTCCATCAACTGGAAAAATTGGGAATGCAATGCCTGCCTGACTCCTCCAGGCACGGAATGGGCCAGTGGGAATTGTTATCCGTGGGTAAACCAATAAAGGGGGTGTGAAGAGAAGGAAAGGATGGAAGGGGGAAGGTGGAACAGCTCCACGTGGGATTTCGGGAGCAGCTTTAAAAGGAGAAGGAATTGGATCCCTGCAGGATTCCGTGGAAGGATTTCAGGATCAGTGAAATGAGGAGAGGGAATTCAGGCCTTTGGGAGAAAGGAAAAGGATGACCAGGAACAGGACAAGAGGTTGGAAGCTCAGGACCGATCCCAGATGGGAAAAGCCGGCGGAGAGCATTCCTTCTCTTCCAAGGGCTGGGAGAGCCCAGCCAGGCTGGAGTGGAACCTGTTGGGAAATAAATCCATGGATACAAACAGAACATGTCCACATTAGACATTCCCTGACATTTTGGGAGCTGCCCAGACAAGGCTGGGAAGCTCCTCGGGTTCTCCAGCCCTTGCTCTTTTCCTGGGGCTGCTCCAACCCTCTCCCACCAACACCTGCTGCACTTCCCAACCCTCCAAGCCCCCGTGGAGCTTCCAGAGGCTGCTCCCAGCCCGAGCCCCCATCCCTGCGCTCCCTCTGCCTCCCTGCAGGGACCAGGTTCTCCGGATCATGGCCAGGGACGCGGAGCAGGCGGCCCTGCTGAAGACGCTGGAAGAGCAGGATGAGCTCCAGGTGAGCTGGGATGGGGCTCCCAAACATCCCCCCCTCTGTGCCAGAGACCCCAGAGACACCCAGGGCTCCCTCCTCCCCTTGCCCTCACATCCAGGTTTCCTCCCCATTTGGGATCTCTACAATTTATGAGTCTATAAATGGGATGTTTATCTCGGGGCTCCTTCGGCTCCGCTTCACGTCAAGTGGGGACATCCCAAAAATCATCATCCAAAGGGGCTTTTGTGGCCCAAAACCCACTTGGGCTGAGGCATGTTTGAGTGGAGAATCCACTGAGTGAGGCCAACCCATCCAGGTCCCCACTTGTGTCCCAAAACTCATCTCAAAGCCTCTTTAGATCCTTCCTGGGAAGCTCCTTCCGGAGCATTCCGTGGATGATCACCGCCACAGGCTGCTCTTCCAGGGCAAGCCAACCTCTTCCAGTTCAGCTTCTCCTTTCCAGGTCCCCCCCTGTGTCCCAAAACTCATCCCAAAGCCTCTTTAGATCCTTCCTGGGAGGCTCCCTGAGGTTCTGGGTGGGGCTCAGGGTCTGAGCACCGGCACGGGGCAGGGCCCATCCCTGTCCTGCAGCTCCGCTTCTCCCTCCCAGGTGGAATTCTGGCGTCACCCCTTCGGCCCCGGCCACCCCGCCGACCTGAGGGTGCCCTTCCCCAGCCTCGGGGCAGTGAAAGGCTTCCTGGAATCCCACAGTTTTCCCTACACCGTCATGATCGAGGACGTGCAGGTAACGGGGAGTGGGAGGAGCTCCGGTAGCTCCGTCCCCGGGGAAGCGCCAAACGCTTGGAAACCACGAGGAGCTGGAATTAGAACCCAACCCCCAGCCCCCTCCAGCCTACCTGATGTTGGGGTTTTTTTGCCTCCCCAACAGGAGTTACTGGATGAGGAGAAGGAGGCCATGGCGAGGTCCAGGAGGGTAAAGAGAAGCTCCAGGGCGTTCGATTTCGGCTCCTACCACACCCTGGACGAGGTGCTTTTCCCTGGACAGGCTCTGCCGGGCCTGGCTGGGCTCACACCCGACCTGTGCCGCAGTTGTATCCGTGTGGTGACGCTCCTGGTGGCGGGGGAGACACTCCCGGGACAGGCCTGGGGCTGGAAGGCGTTTCCAACTTCATTTTGGAGGGTGTTAGGGGATCTCACAGAGCTTTCCCAGGGAAGCACCAGGTTTTTTTCCAGGGAAGCACCAGGTCTTCAGGGAAGCTCTTAGTCTTCTCCAGGGAAGCATCAGGTTTCCAGGGAAGCCCCAGGTTTTCTCCAAGGAGTCACCAGATCTCCAGGGAAGTATCAGGTTTCCAGGGAAGCCCCAGGTTTTCTCCAAGGAGTTACCAGATGTCCAGGGAAGCCTCAGGTCTTCTCCAGGGGAGCATCAAGTCCACAAGGAAGCATCAAGTCCACAGGGAAGCACCAGCTTTCCACATCAGGTCTTCTTCAGGGAATCACTTGGTCTTCTCCAGGGGAAGCACCAAGTCCACAGGGAAGCACCAGGTCTTCTCCAGGGAAGCATCAGCTTTTCAGGGAAGTCCCAGGTCTCCAGGGAAGGCCCAGGTCTTCTCCATGGAAGAATCTGGTCTCCAGGGAAGCCTCAGAGCTTCTCCAGGGATACACCAGGGTTCCACACCAGGTCTTCTCGAGGGAAGAATCAGGTTTCCAGGGAAGCCCCAGGTCTCCCCCAGGGAAGCCCTGCACGTTGCCTCTGGTGCTGGAGGCCCTAAAACCCAAGAGGCAGCCCAGGGTGAGCCTCCTGACCTGGCAGCTCCTCCTTCCAGATCTACTCCTGGATGGACACCCTGGTGGAGGATCATCCTGGGCTTGTCAGCAAGATCCAGATCGGGCAGAGCTACGAGGGCAGACCCCTGTTGGTGCTCAAGGTGGGTCCTGGGGCACCCCCACCTTCCCTCTCCCTAAAGAAGGAGAGGACATAGCTGCAGGCTGTGCCAGGGGAGGCTCAGGTTGGACATGAGGGGGAATTTCTCCATGGAAAGGGTGGTGAGGCCTTGGCAGGGGCTGCCCAGGGAGGTTTGCAGTGCCCATCCCTGGAGGTGTCCCAGGAAGGCCTGGTTGTGGCACTGAGTGCTCTGGGCTGGGGGCCAAGGTGGGGATGGGGCCCAGGGTGGATCCATGGGCTGGGAGGGCTTTTCCAGCCTCAGTGATTCCACGATTCCCACAGTTCAGCACCGGGGGCTCGGCCCGGCCGGCCATCTGGGTGGACACCGGCATCCACTCCCGGGAATGGATCAGCCAGGCCACCGGCGTCTGGACGGCCAACAAGGTGACCTGGGACGAGGGACCCCCAACCCTTACCCCTGTCACCCCTCCCCGTGGTGCTGCTCCGTCGCATCCCTCATCCCGGGGGCAATTCTCGCTCCTCTCCAGATCGCCGAGGAGTACGGGCGGGACCCCTCCGTCACGGCCCTCCTGGACAACATGGACATCTTCCTGGAGATCATCGCCAACCCCGACGGCTTTGTCTTCACCCACAGCTCCGTGAGTGCCGGGACAGTGCCGGGGGATCCCATCCCAGGCTTTGGCTCCGTGGTTTTTGGTGGGGAGGGACGTTCCCGTTGCTCCCCACGTGGGACAGGTGGTTTCCTGCCATCTCTGGAGGTGCTTGGGCCACGTGCCTCGGTGCCACGTGTCCCATGAGGGGTGGGATTCACCTCCCTGTGCCCCCAGGACCGCCTGTGGCGCAAGACCAGGTCCCCCAACGCCGGGTCCCACTGCCTCGGCGTCGACCCCAACAGGAACTGGGACGCGGGATTCGGAGGTGAGAGCGGCCCCACGCCGGGAATTTCCCATCCCTTGGATCATCCCAGCTTTCCAGAGGGACGGGAACCCTTCCTTCCCTGGGCTCCTGCAGGTGCCGGCTCCAGCGGCGATCCCTGCTCCGACATCTACCACGGCCCCTTCCCGCACTCGGAGAGGGAGGTCAAGGCCATCGTGGACTTCATCCGTGACCATGGGAACATGAAGTCCGTCATCTCCATCCACAGCTACTCCCAGATGCTGCTTTTCCCCTACGGATACACTTCGGTGCCCTCGCCCGACTACCAGGAAATGGTGAGATGGCCCCAAAACGCCGGGAGATGGCCCAAGGGCTTGTTCCCACCAGTTCTGGGCTCTTGATCCCACTGTCCCAAGGTCTCAGTCTGCCACATCCCACCAATCTCAGTCCTGCAGTCCCAAGGTCCGGGTCCAGAAGATCCCACCACTTTTGGGCTCTAGATCCTGCTGTCCCAGGGCTTTTGCTCCACCACATCCCACCAATCTCAACCCTGCTGTCCCATGGTCTTTTTCCACCACATTCCACCACTTTTGGGCTCTTGTCCCAAAGATTTTGGTCCACTAGGTCCCACCACTTTTGGGCTCTAGATCCTGCTTTCCCAAGGTTTTCAATCCACCAGATCTCACCAGTTTTGGGCTCTCAATCCTGCTGTCCCAAGGCCTTGGTCCACCACCTCCCACCAATCTTAATCCTGCAGTCCCAAGGTCCTTGTCCACCAGATCCCACCACTTTTGGGCTCTAGATCCTGCTGTCCCAAGGTTTTTGA